CTATAAAAACTTGAGTAACGCTATAATGTGATATGAGGACTCGGTGGCCTTAGAGCAACCGGTGTTGCTTACTTAGCAGAACATTATGAGTCTAATCTCAAGCCCATCCACATTCAAGATTCGTCAATCGTTTTATTTGTTAACATGACTACATGGTAATAACAGCAACTCGATGATTAAAAAGGAGGTCGTCTGCCTAGTGGCAAACGTTTTTGCTTACTGAGCAGAAGACCGTGGGTTCAATCCCAAGCTCCTTCACGTTATATGATTGTTAGGACATCAATTCAGCTTATCGTTTACCAAAACGAACCCTGCTGCTTACCCAACATCCCTGTGATTCCTCGTGGAAGTGCAGAGGTGTTCTCGGCTTCCATCAAAGCGAGTGTCACGACCACACCTTCCTACCCATTCCTTTCTTGACCTGCGTTCAGGCGCGACTGGCGCTGGTATTGCCTAATTCGAGATCACCAGTTTTTACACATTGAGGATGATTGCTAGTCCCAAGCATCGTCTATTGGTTCTCTGTGTAATTACAGCTGGTCTGGCAATAACAAAGTAGCAACCGTGGGCGGTCAATCATGCTCAACCTGCTAGGTTGTCTAAAAGACGCATTTTATTTTGCTAGACACCTCGATTGGCGTCGGCGTGAGCCAAACAACAACGGTGGTTACGCGCAGGTCTACTAGCAAGGTCAACTTCATAGGTTTTCATTGATTGTTGCGCTTTGTGACAAAAGTCAACTTTTATTCATATCAAGCAGCAAACACCCGTTTCGTAATTCATCGACCCTTTCCCATTCAATCATCATCATCCGTTACGATCCATTCCACACAACTCTCACGAGATCTTCCGGTAAGTGCAAACTCCAATAACGAACCCCTGATTCCCCGTTGATGCTGCTTGTTTATAGTAGGCCACATTGTAGGTTACCTTCCTCTCTACCGCTATCGCTTCACTCGCACTCGCTCTCGAATATCGGATGAATGTGTAAATGCAAAAGCATGTACTAGTAGCTCGTTTCCCAAATGGCTCCCATTGTTACTGCTCTCTCATTCTCACAAAACTGCCCCATCTGCTCTCCAATTGAGACTAAAAACATTGCTCCACCACCCCCTCGTTAGAGCTGCTGTTACAATGTATCCCTTCTCTCGTTGTGCCCTGGTAAATCCGTATGTGGTGTATCTATTATTCTATTTTTTGCTCACATATTCCCGGCTCTCGGGCTCTCTTTTGAGTAGTCCTTTCAAACGGAGCACGTTGGTCCACTGCGTTTTTATTTTCACAGCCAGGTGGCAGATTCTCTCCCTGTCTTCTTGGACCGATTTGTTACATACACTATGTAGACAGTATGTATTCAATGTTTCCGTACTTAGAGTGTTGTTCAGAATTGTCTGGATAGGCTTTGGAAGGTTCCTATTATCATCTCAGAGTAGCCAAATGAAGATTGTAGTTTTGAAAAAAAAAAAACGTTTGAACCTGAGCGCATGTTCAAACTTTACGCTTCTAAGTAACCAAATCCAACGAACATAAACAAATATTGACAAGACTAACCAACGAATGAATTTCCATCAGCCATCGGTGTAACTTCCCTCGAACCCTTCCACCTTACACGCGGCAGCAAAGACAAATGCGAGCAAAACCATCGGAACGCAAAGTTCGCGAAGAATTACGCGATTAGCGACGTTTACCGTTTTGTGGATTTATGTCACAGTGCACAGTGGGCCAAGAATGTTCAATTCAGCTGGACAAAATTTCAAAACAAAACGCTTTCATGACTTGCCAGTTTGGGAAATGTGACGATTTGTGAATTGCTTTTCAACTTTTGCATTTAATCACAAAACCATGTCCCTCGATTACCATCCCGATCCATTGTGCATCGCATCCGCTTCCGGATTTGCTGGGGGTGGAAAGCGTGTGCGTTGTATTAGTCGCTGGTGTTGGAGGGAGTGGCGGGTGAGTGATTAGAGCTTCCAGGGCTCGATGGATAAATGCACAAAACGAAGTCGACAGTCGGCGTTTGAAATTCGCTAACAAATCCATTAATCCTGTGAACAAATTTCGATCGATGGTTCTCCGGAACCAGTGCAGACAGCTCCACACGAATCTAATTTCGATGAGCCCGAAACCCATATGGGATAGAGTTTGCATTCACCCTTCCCACCGACCGTACCCGGGCTTATGTGAACCATCAAAGTGGAACGATCCGAAACGATACGTGCGTTGAAAGCCTTTCACGGGGCACTGATTGTCCCGGGAATTGAATTGAACACGGTCTCTCTCTATCTATCTATTTGTGTCTCTATCGTACCTATTCTTGTCTCCGCATTGTAATGTGGCTCCGTCCTTTTACGGAGCAGCAAAATCAATGGTTGCAATTAGAGTCGCCAGCCTACAGCAGAGCCAGAGTGCGAGTGGGTGGCAGTTGACTGGGCGGATAATTGTGAAACTATAGGACTGTAATCTGCTTTTCCGGCTTTGCTTTTAATGTGGCAAATGATGCGGATCGAGGCGTTTGGGCTACTGTAACAGGTAGATCCGAGATAGGTGAAGGAGAGGTTTCTATCCGCTTAAGGTGCATGCAATCAAATCTGTTTTGCAATGTTCTTTCGGGTTGGATTCAACAGCTAGTACCGAGTTAATGGAAGGCTCAATTTAATGTTAAATATTGTGAATAGGTACAAGCAAAGCAGATCGTTTACCGTGTTGTCTCATTATTTTAATGGTTTCATTTCTTCTTCTTTTTCTGTTGGCTTTATTTCGTCCCCGCTGGGACTTAACGCCAGCTCTCAATGTAGTGTACGTTGAGCAATCCCACAGTTGTTAATTAAGAGCTTTCTAAGCCTGTACAACTTTTGCATTAGAATATACCGTAACGTACCATAATCCGGACACTTTTAAAAGCTGATTATCATGGTCAAATGTGCTCCAAATGCCACGTAAATTTCATGATAATCCAATAGTATAGTCTAATCTAACATTATTTTTATGTTGCCAAGTGGATGTATTATTTAATTAAAAATATAATGCCCTTATTAAAAGTACTGTCTGGTACTCGGTGCACTAAGGTATTGTGAGGCAAGAATTATCATACTCCGGTCATAGACGGAGAAGTCAATAAATTGTCCTTAGTAGTTTCACAAACTAAGGAATTTGAGGAAGCTGTGGTAGAAGTCTGCGAAACGTATCAGATTATTGCAAAAATCTGAATTTGCATAGGCACTTAGTCAGATAAGCTGTTCGTTCACCTGTCAAAAACCACCTCTTTACTTACTCAAAAACCACCTGCCCCACTTCCTTCAGGAAGTTGCCCTACCTCCTTCAGGAAGTTCCACAACTACCTTCAGGAAGTTCCACAACTACCTTGAGGAAGTTCCTCAACTTCCTTCAGGAATTTCCCTAACTTTCTTCAGGAAGTTCCCCAACTTCCTTCAGGAAATTCCCCAACTTCCATCAGGAAGTTCCCCAACTTCCTTCAGGAAGTTCCACAACTACCTTCAGGAAGTTCCTCAACTTCCTCCAGGAAGTTCCTCAACTTCCTCCAGGAAGTTCCTCAACTTCCTCCAGGAAGTTCCTCAACTTCCTCCAGGAAGTTCCTCCACTTCCTCCAGGAAGTTCCTCAACTTCCTCCAGGAAGTTCCTCAACTTCCTCCAGGAAGTTCCTCAACTTCCTCCAGGAAGTTCCCCAACTTCCTCCAGGAAGTTCCCCAACTTCCTTCAGGAAATTCCCCAACTTCCATCAGGAAGTTCCCCAACTTCCTTCAGGAAGTTCCACAACTACCTCCAGGAAGTTCCTCAACTTCCTCCAGGAAGTTCCTCAACTTCCTCCAGGAAGTTCCTCAACTTCCTCCAGGAAGTTCCTCAACTTCCTCCAGGAAGTTCCTCAACTTCCTCCAGGAAGTTCCTCAACTTCCTCCAGGAAGTTCCTCAACTTCCTCCAGGAAGTTCCTCAACTTCCTCCAGGAAGTTCCTCAACTTCCTCCAGGAAGTTCCTCAACTTCCTCCAGGAAGTTCCTCAACTTCCTCCAGGAAGTTCCTCAACTTCCTCCAGGAAGTTCCTCAACTTCCTCCAGGAAGTTCCTCAACTTCCTCCAGGAAGTTCCTCAACTTCCTCCAGGAAGTTCCTCAACTTCCTCCAGGAAGTTCCTCAACTTCCTCCAGGAAGTTCCTCAACTTCCTCCAGGAAGTTCCTCAACTTCCTCCAGGAAGTTCCTCAACTTCCTCCAGGAAGTTCCTCAACTTCCTCCAGGAAGTTCCTCAACTTCCTCCAGGAAGTTCCTCAACTTCCTCCAGGAAGTTCCTCAACTTCCTCCAGGAAGTTCCCCAACTTCCTCCACGAAGTTCTCCAACTTCCTCCAGGAAGTTCTCCAACTTCCTCCAGGAACATCTAGAATCATCTATTTTAGGAGGTTTCTCGCATCTCTGAAAAGTAGCTAAAATAACGTCTTCAAAGATTTTTAGAAGTTGTAAAAACTTTCTCCAGGATGATCCTTAAATTTTCGTCAAATTTTTTTTAGAATATCCATCTGATTGTCACCAGAACTTACCTAGAGAGGTTTTTGAAGCGTTCTGCAGGATTTTCAAAAACTTCCTTCTGAAAGTTGCTAGCTTTCAGTGTGGTTCCAAAAAAAATCACCGGGATGTCTTGTAGAGCTTTCTGCGGGAAGCCAATCAGACCAAAAATGGCCTTAAAATCAAGATAATAACCTAAGACACCAAAGTGACTTGACACTTAGACAAATTCATTTACTTGCTGCTCTGGTGCTCTGAGACTGACGTATACGAACGTCAATTTTGACATCCAATTGAATCATAATAGACGCGAAATTCAGTTCAATCAGTTTTCGTCCAGTATCGAACTTTTCAGTCTCGCAGCACTTAATTTTACATTAAATATTTGATTATGTCTCATCCTTTACCTACAATGACTTGATGATCCGGAGTACTTTATAATCTGTTGGCTTTCGGATGATTAAAAAACGTAAACAAACTAACCTAACCTTAATTGTTACCTAAGTACTTCAACCGCTTTATTTTCCATTAAAACTACCTTACCCTAGTCTCCGAATACTGCTACTAAGTCGAAGGCTGCGCCGACACACGGTACAGCGCTGACTGCCGCGTCTGCCGCAGGAACTCGGACGGCCGTAGATTGTGCGAGTATTCCACTCCCGGAACGATGTCGTCTTCCAGTTTGGACGGTTTCGGAATCAGTACCGGATGGATACTGTCCCGGGACTGCTGCCGGTCCGGTTTGATACGGGGTAGAGACTTGGTAAGGTAATCGGCCGGCGGTAGTGGAGGCGGTGCCGGTGCGTCACTTTGCAGCGCTTGAAGTCGAGGTCGGGAAACGTAACCGGGTTCGGATTTGACAGTGGCCGATGGGTTCGCCGAACGCCGAAGCACGCTGGATAGTTGGGATTGTAGATCGGATGGAGAGCTGGAAGGTTGTCGAGAGGGTACTGGTTTCGGTAGAGGGACAGGGGGTTGCTTCTGCTGCAGCTGCTGCTGCAGCTGCTGGTGAATCTGCCGGCTTCCTTGGTTGTACTCTTCGTAATACTGGTGACGGGAGAGCAGAGGAGGATTGTAGCGAGTCTGTTGACTATCATTGCTTCGTGGTCGATCTTGAGGAGAATCTTCTAGCTCCGGAATGTACCGAGATTGGCGCAAGTCGGACTGCCTCTCCGGTTGGTAGTTGTATTGCTGGGAGTCCGGTGACCCACGAGCTTGGTGTTGGTAGTGCTGCTGGCGTGAAAGAATGTAGTTGCGCTCATGCTGACGCTGAAGTTGCTCCTGAAGATAAGGATCCTCTTGGTCCGGGACGGGAGACAGATCCCGTTCAACCATAGTTCGCCGGTTGTATCTGGTTTCGGAAAAATCGTTGTAGGGACTTCTTCTATCGGTGCTTTCGTCACTTTGATCGTTGTACCGAGTAGCCAAGTGGCCGTTCCGGGTACTCAATTGCTTCTCCTCGATCTCCGGTTGATCGGAGGTCACACTTTCGACAAACGTCCGAGTAGTGCCCGCGTGATGGGTGACCGGAACCATCATCCTGCTGAAGGCGAAGTACGACGTCATTCTACTGAGGTCCGAGTTGATCTCGGCCAGTGATTTCTTGTAGGTATTTGGCATGTGCCAAAGAACGATCACCTGTAGAATCACACCAAGTACGATCATCCCGATGAAGTGAGCCGCAATTACATCCTCATGGTTATCCTCATTTCCAATCAATGCGGGATCCGTAACGGTGAAATATTGCATCAAAGCGATCGCTAGCAGTTCAAAAATGGAACCGATCGCTAGGAATGACTCATTAAAGTTCAACGACGATAACTCCAGTATGTTGATCGCAGGTATGACCAAAGATGATCCGATGAATGTGTAGAATATGATTAACGATACACCCATATTGATATTCCCTGCACCGGTGGAGTAAAAGGATACAGCCAAGATCAATCCGATCGTATGCAGCACGGATGAGATCACAAACACAATCTTAGGGCTCAATACCAGCATTGCCAATATTCCAAACAACGATCCAGCAGTCATAAACCAAAACACTGAATATCCGTAATTTACGCCGAACAAAAGCACCATGTAACCTACCGAGAGCTGCACGAAGATCCAATAGAACGCTATGAACCCTTGCAGCTTCGTAAAGATCATATAGAAAATCCACAATTTGTGGTAATTCTTGCTACCACCGACTCCACCCATAATGATCTGCTCGGTCGAAGAATTCCATTGCTTCGGCACAGCTCCATTGCCCAACGTTGTTGGTCCTGTCGTTGCGAAGTTGTTAAACAAATTCCTCCTCTCTCCCCTTCCTCCAATCAGCTTTCCACTTTCGTGGGCAATATCCGTGTCGAAATCCAACGGTTTCTTGTAATCCACAATCCCTTCCCGTTGCAGCATTTCATTGACGCCAACCAACAGGATCACGAAACTCGCTCCGACCAGCATGCAAATCGAAAAGTTGGTATGAACCGTTTCGTCAACTGTAGTTTCACCTGGAAACCAGATGAAATAATCGTTGAGAAATAGGGTCGCAGTGGCCGCAATCCCCGCCAGGAACCAAAAGTAGCAGCATCCCATGTAAGTCGAACGCCACCGGCCGGGAGCACGAATGTGACTGTAACTAAGGCCGGGAATTAGCGTTAGGCCAAGACCACACGCTGCCAGATAGATGGCTGGGATGACGTCTGAAACACAGAGAAAGACAAAAAAGAAGAATCAGTAATGCTTTGCAACAGTAAATCGATTATTTGACACATTGGATTTATTTGATAGACAAAATATGATGGACAGGTACTTGTTGACAGGGGAAGAAACAAGCCGGGAAGCTCAGGAGAACCGATGTTTACCGTAAACAGGTTTTATTACAGTGATTAGCGATTTTGTTTGCAATACGTTACAAGCTGATATGGGAGCTGGTGTACTTGAAACAAAATTGTTTATGGTGATTATTGGGAAGAAGCGATATCAGGAGTCGAGTTATGAATGTCCATACCAATGCTATACAAATCTATTTTCACGGATGTTGGTCAAAGTTTTGATCTCTAGCAGTTTTGGAACGTTTTACTTTATCTGAAGGTAAAATCACAGACAAACAGAAGTAACTCTTCATTGTAGATCATCGTTTGCGCATTGAACGATTGGTTTGAATGTTATCGTTTCCGCGAACTACTCGCCGCAGCGATGGCGTCGGATCACTTTGACGTTTCTATATATTCGGTTTTTCTTGCATGCAAGATTGTTTGCGAATCAGTGAGCAAGCTTGTTTTTCGCAAGAAGCCTGCGAGATGTCGTTACTGGAGCCCTATGTTTAGTGGTACTATGTTTTGCTGATAATTTTATTCAAAGGGTTACGTCTGTTTGTCTGTGGTAAAATAATCAAGGTCGCTTAACTTTCTCTCCATAATCCTCTTTTAAATTCACTGCATTTAAAAATCCTCAGAAATCCATTGCACAATGGTCTAGAAGCCGAATTTAGGTGGAATAAATTGTTTGTGCGTAAATCATTAGTTTTATGTATATACCGTCTACCCCCGCTAATCTGACCGTTCTTAATCTGAACACAATTTAGTTTGCACCCCGCTCATCTGTACTTTTTATACATTGATTTCTCGTAAAAGGTAAATATGTTCTAGACCAGGCTTGTCAACCTCATGATGAGAAACTATCGAGGAAACTATGTAACATAGACAATAATAAAAATATCAATTGACTACTTTGACTATATGTTTAGTATTACCATAGAGGTAACTCTAAGACTAGAAGGTCCCGAAATAACGTGCTCAACTTATTGGCTCAGCTCTGGTACTCTCTTCGGTCCCAAGCTAATCGATTCACCCCTCGAAACATAGGAAAAACCAATAACCCCTCATTTTATCTGTCAAACTTTCATAGCGAATCAAAACAAACATTGCGTAGTACTAGAATTTCGACTAGAATGGGGTACGTTAATCGTTTGCTTGGGACCAATAGACTAGTCAAGTAGTGAGCCAATTTAAAATCGTTAGTTTCGTATTGATTGTTGGTATTACTATATTATTCACGCAGAAGTCAACGATTTACATAGTTGAAGATGCTATTTCGAATAACAGACTGAAGTGGTAATTTTTATACGATAGATGAGGAGGAGATGAAAGTATAGATTTGATAGTTCCGTCAGTCTGAAAATTGCATATAGAAAGTAGATAGCGAGCTAGGACAACTTTTAAGGAAGGTACAAATCGGTTTTATCATCTCTCTTTACCAAACTCCCCCTGTGGAGAGGGATGGTGAGGGGTGCCCCCCCCCCCCCCCGCCACCACTGACTTCTCGACGCAAGATCTCACTAGCGAGCGTAGCCGTGTAAAATCGATTAGTTTATTATTTTCAACCGCGAAATCAGGTGTCAAAGTGTTCAACTTAACAGCGTTTTTGACGTAGGGCTTCGTCTGTGATTTCTTTATGGGGGTACACTTTGTGAAAACCCAAAATAGAACATGTAACAAAATTTTGAAAGATTTTGAACAGTTATAAGTCTGTTCATAGTGGATGGATTTTAATTCTAAACAAGCCAATCGATTGAAAAGTCATCTACAAATCTGTTAAAATGAACACTATCAATTTCAACAGGTCACTATTGAAAATTGCACGAATGTGCAACTGTTGCTATCATAATTAAAATTATCACCGATTGCCTGCAAAAAGCGCTTTCCCTAACACAGATTTAAAAATTGATTTCACTCCGGTCTTGCCAAACGGTGTTTATTCAATCACCGCGCGTGGTGAGTGGTGGTGTCCGGTCGTCATTAGCAGCAGCAGTGCTTTCGGCGCGTGGCGTTTTCCAGTACATAATGAAAGGCTGCCTGCATGCAGCTAACTATCAAAGCTGCCTACAAGAGCCCTCGATTCACCGAACAAAGAGGAAGAAGCCGCACCGCTACTGATCGGATTCAGTTGCGCGTCGTGAGCCGCTATGGGCCATCTATACTAAGTGCGTCACCCTCGTTCCAAACAACATACAGCTCGCCAGCTTCATCAGTGTTGAACACCCTAATAGTAGCTCAGCATTACTCAATCTTCACGACAAAACGGTCCTTTTCAGGACCACCACCGCGTGAGGAGTATGGAGATGGTGGTTGGAATTTAACTTTTGAGATTTAAATGATTATAATTAAGTTTGGGTATGAAAAGTAAAATCGGGTGCTCCGTGACTTTTCGAATACCAATAAAACACAATTGAAAAGTCTTTTGAGATTATTGTTTTATATTTACATCAATGTCCAAAAGCAAATATTTTTAAAAATTACAAAGCTAACGTTTGCATTTAAAAAAAGGACAAAATTGTTGATTTTTCATGGGTTTACCTTCACCCGCACTGACGAAACTGCCCATGCAGCATCAATCATGGTAGCCCATGAGTCAGCAGACAAAATTTGACAGCTCTATCAGTCGAACTCTAACCGTGATGGCAAAAACAGTGAAGCAACTCCGTTCAGAAGTGTGCGCGTTCAAAGAACGGCACCCCACCGCGTCGAAAACGGACATCGTGCGGCATTTTGTGGACGCCGGATACGCCCGTTCCGGCATCTACAACATCTTGGCACTATTAGACAACAATCAGAACATTGAAAGAAAGCCCGGTTCCGGACGGCCGACGACCCTGAGGGACAAGAAGCTCCACAGGAAGTTGAAGAGGAAGACCGAGGGAAAAGTGGCTACATTGCTGCATGCGCTTGGCCGGGAGGTCGGTGCAACCGGCCAAATAGTGAAAAAGTACCTGGCGAACATGAACATAAAGGGTGATACGGTCAAAATTTGGTCAAGGGAAAACGCGTGTAAATCGGTGAAATCGTTTATTTAAAAAATCAAATTAAATTTCTTTTTCAAGTTCAATTAGTATAAAATTCAGGAAAAATATTCAGTTAGGCTTCCGCTTTTCCAAATCCGAATTGCCGGGCCTTACGCTTGACCCCTGCCATCAGATTTTGTACAGCCACCTTGTCCACCTTCTTCGCCGCAGAAAGCCAGTTTGCCTTGAACTGCTGCTCGCCCTTAGCAGTTTTTTTGGTCTTCTTTAGGTTCCGCTTGACAATAGCCCAGTATTTCTCAATTGGGCGGAGCTCTGGCGTGTTGGGAGGGTTCTTGTCCTTGGGAACCACCTGCACGTTGTTGGCGGCGTACCACTCCATGTTCTTTTTACCGTAATGGCAAGATGCCAAATCCGGCCAAAACAGTACGGAACAACCGTGTTTCTTCAAGAAAGGCAGCAGACGTTTATTCAAACACTCTTTCACGTAAATTTCTTGGTTGACAGTCCCGGAAGCTATGAAAATGCTGCTTTTCAAGCCACAGGTACAGATGGCTTGCCAAACCAGATATTTCTTTGCGAACTTTGACAGTTTCATGTGCTTGAAAACATCTGCTACCTTTCCCCTTCCTTTTGCCGTATAAAACTCCTGTCCCGGAAGCTGCTTGTAGTCGGCTTTGACGTAGGTTTCGTCGTCCATTACCACGCAGTCAAACTTCGTCAGCATCGTCGTGTACAGCCTCCGGGATCGCGCTTTGGCCGTCGTATTTTGTTTATCATCGCGATTTGGAGTAACTACCTTCTTGTAAGTCGATAGTCCGGCTCGTTTTTTGGCTCGATGCACGGTTGTAGACGATACACCCAGCTTATTTGCGGCATCTCGGAGAGAGAGGTTAGGGTTTCGCTTGAAACTACCGGCAACTCTCTTTGTCGTCTCAGCGGCTTCCGGTTTTCGATTTCCCCCCGATCCAGACTTCCTGGCTGTCGACAAACGTTCCCCAAACACTTTAATTGCATTTGTAACGGTTGATTTGGCAACTTTTAGCGATTTTGCCAACTTTGCGTGCGAGTAGCTCGGATTTTCGCGATGCGCGAGCAAAATTTGGATACGCTGCTCTTCTTGCTTGGACGGCATTTTGACAGCTGAAGAATGAATTCCAAAATCAAAATAGGAGCAACATTCTACACACACACACCTTCAAAATGAGGGGTGTTCAGGTTTTTTAAATGCAAAATTGAAAGAAATACGTCAAGTTGATATTGACCAAATTTTGACCGTATCACCCTTTACATGTCAGGAAGCGGAAGTCACGTCCACTGGTTTCGGAGCTGCAGGCAATGACGCAGCGGCAGCGGCTGAATAAGATGGTCAACTCGTTTTTCTGTGCGAATCGCGACGTGGCGGTGGTGATGGACGACGAGACCTATCTCAGCCTGGATGGCAACGACTGGCAGGGTACTTCGTATTTTGCTTCCCCCACGAAGGAAGTGAGCTCCGAGGTGAAGTTCATTTCACACACCAAGTTCCCCAAGAAGGTGCTGCTGTGGCTGACAATCAGTGAGAAGGCGATGTCAAAGCCGCTCTTCTTTCGCTCCGGACTGGCCGAGAACGGGGAAATTTATAGTACGAAATGCCTGCCGGAAGTTGCGTCGTTCATCAAGAAATACCATAAGGGCGAAGACGAGGTGTTCTGGCCGGATCTGGCGTCGGCCCACTACTCGAAGAGATCGTTGGAGGAGATGGAGCGGCTGAATATCGATATGATACCCAAGTCGGCGAACCCGCCAAACGTCCCCCAGGATAAGTTTTCGGGTTTTTTGCCAGTTGGCCCATGCATTATCTGTCAAAAAACTCGGAAACTTATGCATTGTACGCCAGCCTTCACTCATGTCGTTTTCGTT